AAAGTAAACAAGATTTTCAAAGAAAAGAGAATGTACGAAAGGGCCACTTGAAAAGTTCGCTTGAATTCGTAAAGACACAATATAAAAATATCGAAACATAACCTTCAGATGTTCACCTAACACGACGAGTTATTTTGCTACGAGATGTCTAAAAAAGTTGTTTTTTGATATGAAATATCTTTTTGGGTTAGGTTTAAGTAACAACTAATTTTATAACAAATCTCTTAAAAAATGACTATATTATGTCATATTGTTCAATTTGTACATTTCCATACTAATAGTTCTGACCCTAAGTGTCCAGATTTCATTATGCTATTTACATATAAAAGAAAATAAAGTTTGTTCCTTATAGTACCTCCTCCTTTGTTTCCAATTGATATAGAAATGGAAAGAACAGAATAACTTTTAGAATATTCATTGTCCAAAGAATGATACAAAAGTTTGCTGTACAAAATTGAGGGACTGAAAATAAAAACCAACATTTAGATAAACATACGTTTAAATAATGTTAAGAACACTAAACAATATATACTTTAATAAAGTACTTTCCAGAATTTGTTAATTGAAACGAAATGTAAATAAAAGAGTAATATTATAAAGCACTCAACACTATTCCTTTTAATGTCACAAAGTCTAGGATAAAAGGGGAAGATGTGCTAGTCCGTCATTTGGATAGATTGTATCATTCACATGCTTATCACATTTGAAGATAAACGATTTCATATTTGTTAAAGAGAAAACTGAGTAGTTTACTTCTATATGGTCTGGAATATTTATGTTATTATAGAAATGAAAAAAATAAATCGGGTATTTAGCATACCGAGATAACAGCTGTATCATCGCTTTCTGATCATTTACTGATTGTAAATATCATTTTATTCGATAATTTGCAGGATATTAATTCTAAAATGAAAAATGCCAATTGTATAAAAACAAGTACGTTAGTTTAAACTTTATTATTACTAGAAATGTCGTTTTATCACCAGGGATTTAATAATTTGCAGTAATTGAAATAATTACCTTTAATGAGTGTTTGTGCTTATAACATCAATTATATCCTACAAATTAATATACAAGAGAAAGTATGTATATATTTGCAAGCTTGTGGGAGTTTTCTTCCCACTTTCTTTACTATTTTTTGCTACTTTTGAATTGGTTGCTTTTAGTTGATATCATTTCTTATTTCTTATGAATTATATTTTAATCACAATTAAGAATTTTGAAGTCAAATGTTTTATTTGCAAATTAAATTTGGAATAATCTCATTTTGAATAAAAGACGTATTGTGGTCAGTCTTGTTATTATTCATATCATATAGCAAACAAGCTCGGCTTCTTGCCTAGATAAATATTTTTTACGTTTGTCTGTTTTAAATGTTTATAGATTTTTTCGCCAAGGCGTCGTCAGTTCATTTTCGGTTGATGAAATTGATTTTCATTTTGGTATCTTTCGCCTCATTTATACTATCAAAACCGTGAAGTACCAATATATATATTTACATGATCCGTTCATCCTATTTTGACTCTTCCAAATTCAAGAGTCTATCCTAAATTGAGGTAAATTGTATGGCCTTCCAAATAACGTTTCGATTCCTAACATCACTGAAGAGACATTAATTATCGAAATCCGGATATGGTGTACTAATGTTACACCTTTTGTTTGCGGTATACCACTTTTTTCGCAAGTTTATTTTTTTCTGTTTGGTATTAAATTAATAATTAAGATCCATTTTGTTACATCTTGTGATCCGTTTATTTGACAATCGCCAATGGCAGTCAGCAGGATTTAAGAACATCCGTTGTTCGACCTGCTAGTCAAAAGTAAAATCACAAAAATACTGAACTCCGAGGAAAATTCAATCGGAAAGTCCCTAATCACATGGCAAAATCAAATGACAAAACACATCAAACGAATGGACAACAACTGTCATATTCCTGACTTGGTACAGGCATTTTCAAATGTAGAAAATGGTGGATTGAACCTGGTTTTATAGCGCTAAACCTCTCACTTGTACGACAGTCTTATCAAATTTCGTTATATTTACAACGATGCGTGAACAAAACGCGTTTTGTTAAAATATACTTTTTCACTTTTTTGGTCTTTTGGAAAATGTTGTTTGTGCTGTATTTAGACTCCTCTTCCAAGAAATTTGTTTTTCATGCACACGTATAAAAATTGCGGTTTTTATCCAACGCAATCATAGGTTTGAACTTTGTTTTCAATTTAGACTTGTTTATATAAATATATATATATATATATATATATATATGTATTTACAATACTATTCCGTGGTGTAAGAAGAAATGGATTATTTAAATTTCAGTTCAATAGTAAGAACAGGTGGTTTTTACTGAATCATTAACCAACTTTGTTCCTGGGGAAACCTTCAGATTTTTTTACAGAAACTTAATGTTTCATAATGAAACAACTTCAGTTGGTCAATGAACAAGAGAACGCGATGTTAAAACAAGATTGTATTGTAAAAAGAAAAAAAAAGCGATGTACCCTAACGGAGAGATTAAAATATAGGAATATGAAAAGAGAAGCGAAGGATACCAAAGGGACATTCAAACTCAAGTCGAAATAAAACTGACAACGCCATGGCAAAAAAGAAAAAGACAAACAGACAAACAACAGAACACAAAACACAACGTAGAAAACCAAAGACTGATCAACACGAACCCCACCAAGAATGGGGTTGATCTCAGATCCCGCTCCACATGTGACACCCGTCGTGTTACTCCTTGATTGGGATTCAATGTATTTGTTGAGTTTAGTGGAATAATACTTCAACAGAAAGATGGTTTTCCAATTGGTTCCAATTGAGCACTGCTACTGGCAGAATTGTTTGTATGTTATAAGAAGCAGAATTCATACAGGACCTTCTCATGGGTGCCACCTGCAGAGAAGGATCTGCTTACCCTTCCGGAGCACTTGGTTTTGGTTGGGCTCGTGTTACTCACTTTTTAGTTTTCTATGTTGTGTTTTGTGTTCTGCTGTTTGTCTTTTCGTCGTTTTTCGTTTTTTGCCATAGCATTATCAGTTTGTTTTCGACTTATGAGTTTGAATATCCCTTCGATATCTTTTGCCTCTCTTCTCAAAGGCAAAAAGAAAAATGCATTTTCCAAGGTTTTTTATTTTCACTTTCAGTGATATTGAAATTGTTGTCTTGTTGCTCAATAACCTACATTGCAGTGAACTTGAGATTTGGGATACCGAATACAGAAGGTCTACTTCATTTCTTTCTTTCTCCACTATTGACATACATGGACGATTTCAAACCCGAATTAATAACAAATGTGATTATTTCAACTTTCCAATTGTCATCTGCCCATTTGTTAACAGTAACATACCCTCTACCACTATTATGGCGTTTACATATCTCAATTACTACTGTACGATCGTGAACATTCACACTATACGTATGTTACATTGTGCTCCTTAGACAAACACCAGTTCTACAGGGCTATGAGCAAGAAGAACAGAAATCGAAACGACGTAAGTTTTACGGTCACCATCACAAATTTGGTAAACAGAACCGATGTGCGTGTATCTTAACTCACTAACGACATGTTTCCACGGTCTAAGATCTTTAGATACCGGAATAATCGTCTGATCTGTAATATAACCAATGATGTTCTATTTCAAACTGTAACATTTGGACTGAGTGTGGATTCACACGGCGGGAGGTGTATAAAAAGCAGGAGACACTTACTCACTTTTGGCCTCGAGCATCACTGAAGAGACATTGATTGTCGAAATGCGCATCCGGTGCAGAAAAATTTGTACCGTTTATGTTATTACGATGTCAACACACCAGACCTCGCTCCTTTTGGAGTAAATGTAATTTCTTTAATTTTTGTTTTTTTCATTTTCATCTACAATATCGTAATCGGTTTATTAGATGTACGCATCGGTTTCCTCCGCCTCATTTCTAGACATTTACCTCGAATTTGACAACGGACGTTATCCCAGTAACAGAATCTTTGACAAACGAGACGATTTCAATTCTGAAATGATATTTTCTCACCTTAACAGCAATTCACCAACTTCATCCGCGTATGGAGAATGACGTTTCTCAACTACTAATAGCTTTTACTTTGGTAGGATTTTAGTTTGGATTACTAATATCTTTCTTCCCTCCATATTTTGGTTGAGCTCTCAAAATTTGTTTAGCTATATGAAAATGTTATCATATTATAAATGAAAGGAAATGTTGGGTATACATCAGTGATGCTATAACAGTATACTGTAAACACGCGAAACTTTTGAGTGGAACATTAAATTAAACGTTACTGCAAATATACAGAAAAAAGTTAAAACAAGGCCCTCAGTGTCAAGGACAGTCATGTTGTAATTAAGATAACGTGTAAATATCAACTGACTAAACGTTTGACTGGTGCCATATAGAATTACTATGATAACACTGCATTGTTTTAGTTATTTAATCGATGTTGTCCATTTACTTATTTTCAACCATTTCTTTAATGATTTCATGGGCAGTAAGTGTTTAATGTAAAATCCCAAACGTATTATAAAAGTAAATATCATGAACACACATTTTATTCTAATATCAGAAATATAAATAACTTGTACTAATTGTATTGATTACCTGAAATGAGTTCTAATGATTAAATCGTCAAAGTTTCAAATGACAAAGGACATATAAATAATAAACATATATGATTGTTTGAGCCGTTAAAGTTTGACAGTCGACATGTACTTTGTAAGATTTTATTTTTGTCGAAGGAGGATATTATTGTTTTTTAGTCAGTGATACAAAACTGTATATTTTAATAAAACATATAAGCTGCACGGTATACATTGGAAGAAGAATGATGTAACAGTTCGTATATTGACACTGATGATAATTGATGAATAAGTAAAAAGTATTCGATTCACAGACTACATACGAAATAAAGATGCTGGCTACTAATGAGAAAATCTCAAAAGCGAATTTCATTATTTAACTATTCATGGACTAAGTATGAACAATGATTTAGAAATTCGAAAACATTGTTATATGTACAATTTGACAACAAAGTGGTAACTGTACAAATGTGACAAATGGCGTTGAATAAATTGATATGTTTCCTACTGCTATTGCTTGATAGTGGAAAACCTAATTTTGGCTCTACCCTGTCTGATGTTAGCAGATTATATACAAAAATGGTAATGGACTACAATAAAAAGATTAGACCAGGAAATGACCAATCAGTTGCTTCACAAATTAATGTTTCTTTCAATTTGGGTGCAATTCAAGAATTCGACGAAGTTAACGGAAAATATGCCGTCATTGGATTTTTTCAAATCACATGGTATGATTCAAGAATGACTTGGAATCCACTAGACTACAATGATACGAACACTATGTTGTTTTTACAAGACGATATATGGAAACCAACACTTGTTATTACAAATCCATTCAGTAAAATCGAAAAGATTGGGAAAGATTTTATGACGGTAAGATATTCTAGCAATGGTTTTGCATACTGGACACCAGGTGAAATTTTAATTAGTTCATGTAGTGTGGATATTACGTACTTCCCGTTTGACGAACAGATTTGTACAATACGTTTGATGGCATGGGGAACTTCATCAAATGAAATTGTATTGCTGTCATCTTCTGACATTAACATGAATTATTATTTAGAACATGGGAGCTGGAAGATAAATTCTGCGTCTGCCAAAAGTATAGTAGATGGTTCGATTGGTTCGTCATTCATTGATATGTCTATTTCAATGAAGAGACGTCCAGGTTTTTATGTTGTAAACATTGTACTTCCTGTTATATTTCTGATGTTGTTAAATGCATGCGTATTTGTTTTACCACCAAACTCAGGAGAACGAGTTTCATATGCTATAACTGTATTACTTGCAATAGCTGTATTTCTGACTTTGATAGGAGATAACCTGCCTAAAACATCTGAACCAATGTCTTTGCTAAGTTACTTTCTGATGTTTGGCCTCGTGTTTAGTTCTTTGATATGTTTTTGCACTATTCTATGTCATAGGCTTCAACTGAAAGATAAGAATCGTCACATACCATCTTTTTTAAAACGGCTGGTATTGTGTTGTAGACCCGATAAACCAAGAACAGAGAGAGAATGGAGTATTATATTAAACAACACATCAAATCGTCAAAATTCAAATGTGAATGGCAATGAAAGTTTAACTACTAACGACAGGAACGATGTTTCATGGAACGACATCTGTTTAACACTTAATACAATCTTTTTATGGGTTTCATTTGGAGGAATCTCAGTAAGTGCATTGTTATTCTTCGTTTTTGTTACAAAGTCGATTTAGATAAATACAGTAAAGTAATCAAAGAGAATGTACGAAAGGGCCACTTGAAAAGTTCGCTTGAGTTCTTAAAGACACAATATAAAAATATCGAAACATAACCTTCAGATGTTCACCTGACATCAGTATAAAATTACCACGACGAGGTATTTTGTTACGAGATGTTAAAAATAATTGTTTATTGATACGAAATATCGTTTTGGGTTAGGTTTAAGTAACAACCAATTTTATAACAAATCTCTTAAAAATGACCATTTTATGTCATATATGTCATTTTGTACATTTCTATCCTAATAGTTTTGAACCTAAGTGTCCAGATTTCATTATGCTATTTACATATAAAAGAAAATAAAGTTTGGTCCTTATAGTACCTCCTCCTTTGTTTCCAATTGATATAGAAATGGAAAGAACAGAATGACTTTTAGAATATTTATTGTCCAAAGAATGATACAAAAGTTTGCTGTACAAAATTGAGGGACTGAAAATAAAAACCAACATTTAGATAAACATACTTTTAAATAATGTTAAGAACACTAAACAATATATATACTTTAATAAAATACTTTCCAGAAGTTTGTTAATTGAAACGAAATGTAAATAAAAGAGTAATATTATAAAGCCATCAACACTATTCCTTTTAATGTCACAAAGTTTAGGATAAAAGGGGAAGATGTGCTAGTCCGTCATTTGGATAGATCGTATCATTCACATGCTTATCACATTTGAAGATAAACGATATCATATTTGTAAAAGAGGGAACTGAGTAGTTTACTTCTATATGGTCTGGAATATTTAGGCCGAGAAAAAAAAATCTGTGTTTCCGGTAACCCGACCGACCCTGTTTTTTTAGCCCCGACCCTAATTTTTTTATTGGATCTTCAAAAAAAAAAAAAATTGGTATCAACCAACCCTGTTTTTGACACAGGCTTCTGTTAATCGACATAATTATTTATGGATCTGCACAGAAAGCCAGTAAAACATTTTATTTATGTCAAAAGGTATTCCAAAAAGGTTAAAATCCAAGAAATTTGCACGGCAGGTGCTTCAAAAACATTTCAAATGGCCGCACTTCCGGTATTTGAAACTAATTACGGACACGGACTTGGAAAAACCATGATAATTTTCCGGATTTCGTTTACAATGTCAAAAAAAAAAAAAAATAAATAAATAAATCCGACCTACCGACCCTATTTAACAAAATGATGTTACCGGAAACACAGAATTTTTTTTTTAGGCCTTATGTTATTATAGAAATGAAAAAAATAAAGCGGGTATTTAGCATACCGAGATAATAGCTGTATCATCGCTTTCTGATCATTTACTGATTGTAAATATCATTTTATTCGATAATTTGCAGGATATTAATTATAAAATGAAAAACTCCAATTGTATAAAGACAAGTACGTTAGTTTAAACTTTATTATTACTAGAAATGTCGTTTTATCACCAGGGATTTAATAATTTGCAGTTATTCAATTAATTACCTTTAATGAGTTTTTGTGCTTATAACATCATATAACCTACAAATTAATATACAGGAGAAAGTATGTATATATTTTCATGCTTGTGGGCCAGAGTTTTCTTCCCACCTTCTATACTATTTTTTGCAACTTTTAAATTGGTTTCTTTTAGTTGATATTATTTCTTATTTCTTATGAATTATATTTTAATCACAATTAAGAATTTTGAAGTCAAATGTTTTGATTTGCAAATTAAATTTGGAATAACAAATGTTTTATTTGCAAATTAAATTTGAAATAGTCTCATTTTGAATAAAAGACGTATTGTGGTCAGTCTTGTTATTATTTATATCATATAGCAAAACAAGTTCGGCTTCTTGCCTAGATTAATATTTTTTACGTTTGTCTGTTTTAAATTTTTACAGATTTTTTTGCCAAGGCGTCGTCAGTTTATTTTCGGTTGATGAATTTGATTTCCATTTTGGTATCTTTCGCCTCACTTATACTATCAAAATCGTGAAGTACCAATATATATATATATGATCCGTTCATCCTATTTCAACTCTTCCAAATTCGCGAGTCTATCCTAAATTGAGGACAATTATATGGCTTCCAAATACCGTTTCGATTCCTAACATCACTTAAGAGACATTAATTGTCGAAATCCGGATATGGTGTACTTATTTTGCACCTTTTGTTTACGGTATACCATCTTTTCCGGAAGTTTATTGTTTTCTGTTTGGTATTAAATTAATAATTAAGATCCATTTTGTTACAGCTTGTTATCCGTTTATTTGGCAATTGCCAATAGCAGTCTGCAGGGTTTAAGAACATCCGTTGTTCCACCTGCTAGTTATATGCGTTTTGTTAAAATATACTTTTTCACTTTTTTGGTCTTTTGGAAAATGTTGTTTGTGCTGTATTTAGACCCCTCTACCAAGAATTTTTTTTTTGCATACACACGTATAAAAATTAAAGATTGCGGTTTTTATTCAGCGCAATCATAGGTTTGAACGTTGTTTTCAATTTAGACTTGTATATTTATATACAATTCGTCTAAATAACAGCCCAACAATGTTAGATCTGTAAATTTGCGGAAGCAAATTTTTTGTTGTTCCCTGGCCGGGATAGGAACTCATGCTACAGAGATATCGTGGCACCAAATCGCCTTGCACTGTGCCCGACGCGCTACACCACTCGACCACCTAGGCTCTACAATAATAAAGCTTTCGGTGGCCGGGTGTTACCTTTCCTCGTCAGTTTTAATCTAGCGTCGAAACACAGTACATGATATATAAGGAATGAACATGGAATTTTTACAGATCAGCTGAATTATCTATCGTAAAGGATCTTACAAATTAATGTAGGATGCAGTCACAGTATATTATAAGTACGTCTGAACCAGTGACAACTCTATGAGAGGTTTTATCCATCGGATCACCAGTGATGGTGATACAAGGCTGAAAACACATTCTTTATATATATATATTTACAATACTATTCCGTGGTCTAAGAAGAAATGAATTATTTAGATTTCAGTTCAATATAAAGAACAGGTGGTTTTTATTGAACCATTAACCAACTTTGTTCCTGGGGAAACCTTCAGATTTTTTTACAGAAACTTAATGTTTCATAATGAAACAACTTCAGTTGGTCAATGAACAAGAGAACGCGATGTTGAAACAAGATTGTATTGTAAAAAGAAAAAAAAAGCGATGTACCCTAACGGAGAGATTCAAATATAGGAATATAAAAAGAGAGGCGAAGGATACCAAAGGGACATTCAAACTTAAGTCGAAAATAAACTGACAACGCCATGGCAAAAAACGAAAAAGACAAACAGACAAACAACAAAAAACAAAACACAACGTAGAAAACCAAAGACTGAGCAACAAGAACCCCACGAAGAATGGGGTTGATCTCAGGTGCTCCAGAAGGGTAGGCAGATCCCGCTCCACGTGTGACACCCGTCGTGTTACTCCTTGATTGCGATTCAATATATTTGTTGAGTTTGGTGGAATAATACTTCAACAGAAAGTTGGTTATTTTTATGTTAAAGGAAGCAGAATTTATACAGGACCTTCTCATTGGTGCCACCTGCAGAAAAGGATCTGCTTACCCTTCCGGAGCACCTGAGATCATCCCCGGTTTCGGTTGGGCTCGTGTTACTCACTTTTTAGTTATCTATGTTGTGTTTTGTTTTCTGCTGATTGTCTTTTCGTCGTTTTTCGTTTTTTGCCATAGCATTATCAGTTTGTTTTCGACTTATGAGTTTGAATATCCCTTCGATATCTTTTGCCTCACTTCTCAAAGGCAAAAAGAAAAATACATTTTCCAAGGTTTTTTATTTTCGCTTTCACTTATATTGAATTTTTTGTCTTGTTGCTCAATAATCCACATTGCAGTGAACTTGAGATTTGGGACACCGAATATAGAAGGTCTACTTCATTTCCTTCTTTCTTCAATCTCGACATACATGGACAATTTCAAACCAGAATTAATAACAAATGTGATTATTTCAACTTTCCAATTGTCATCTGCCCATTTCTTAACAGTAACATACCCTCTACCACTATTATGGCGTTTACATATCTAATTTACTACTGTACGATCGTGAACATTCACACTATACGTATGTTATATTGTGCTCCTTAGACAAACATCAGTTTTACAGGACTATGAGCAAGAAGAACAGAAATCGAAACGACGTAAGTTTTACGGTCACCATCACAAATTTGGTAAACAGAACCGATGTGCGTGTATCTTAACTCACTAACGACATGTTTCCACGGTCTAAGATCTTTAGATACCGGAATAATCGTCTGATCTGTAATATTACCGATGGTGTTCTATTTCAAACTGTAACATTTGGACTGAGTGTGGATTCACACAGAGGGAGGTGTATAAAAAGCAGGAGACACTTACTCACTTTTGGCCTCGAGCATCACTGAAGAGACATTGATTGTCGAAATGCGCATCTGGTGCAGAAAAATTTGTACCGTTTATGTTATTACGATGTCAACACACCAGACCTCGCTCCTTTTGGAGTAAATGTAATTTCTTTGATTTTTGTTTTTTTTCACTTTGATCTACAAAATCGTAATCGGTTTATTAGATGTACGCATCGGTTTCCTCCGCCTCATTTCTAGACATTTACCTCGAATTTGACAACGGACGTTATCCCAGTAACAGAATCTTTGACAAACGAGACGATTTCAATTCTGAAATGATATTTTTTCTCACCTTAACAGCAATTCACCAACTTCATCCGCGTATGGAGAATGACGTTTCTCAACTAATAATAGCTTTTACTTTGGTAGGATTTTAGTTTGGATTACTAATATCTTTCTTCCCTCCATATTTTGGTTGAGCTCTCAAAATTTTTTAGCTATATGAAAATGTAATCATATTATAAATGAAAGGAAATGTTGGGTATACATCAGTGATGCTATAACAGTATACTGTAAATACGCGAAACTTTTGAGTGGAACATTAAATCAAACGTTACTGCAAATATACAGAAAAAAGTTAAAACAAGGCCCTCAGTGTCAAAAAACAATCATGTTGTAATTAAGAAAACGTGTAAATATCAACTGACTAAACGTTTGACTGGTGCCATATAGAAATACTATGTTAACACTGCATTGTTTAAGTTATTTAATCGATGTTTTCCATTTACTGATTTTCAACCATTTATTTGAAGATTTCCTGGACAGTAAGTGTTTAACGTAAATTCCCAAACGTATTATAACAGTAATAACCATGAACACAAATTTCTTTATAATATTTGAAATATAATAACTTCTATTAATTGTATTGATTACCTAAAAAAGTTTTAATGATTAAATCGACTAAGTGTTAAATTACATACAGATGGACATATGAATAATGAGCATATACAATTGTTTGAGTCGTTCAAGTTTCGACAATCAACATGTACTTTGTAAGAGTTTATTTCTGTCGAAGGAGGATATTATTGTTTTTAGACAGTGATACAAAACTGTATATTAAAAATAGGCATAGAATCTGCACGGTATACATTGGAAGAAAAAGGATGTAACAGTTCGTATATTGACACTGATGATAATAGATGAATAAGTAAATAGTATTCGATTCACAGACTACATACGAAAAAAAAACCAGTTGGCTACTAATGAGGAAATCTTAATTTCATTATTTAACTATTCATGGACTGATTATGTACAATGATTTAGATATTCGAAAACATTGTTATATCTAAAATTTGACAACAAAGTGGTAACAGTACAAATGTGACAAATGGCGTGGATTAAACTGATACTTTTTCTGCTGCTTTTGCTAAATAGTGGAAAACCTAATTTTGGCTCTACCCTATCTGATGTTAACAGATTATATACAAAAATGGCAATGGACTACAATAAAAAGATTAGACCAGGAGATGACCAATCAGTTGCTTCACAAATTAATGTTTCTTTCAATTTGGGTGCCATTCAAGAATTTGACGAAGTTAACGGAAAATATGCCGTCATTGGATTTTTTCGAATCACATGGTATGATTCAAGAATGACTTGGAATCCACTAGACTACAATGATACGAAAACTATGTTGTTTTTACAAGATGATATATGGAAACCATCACTTGTTATTACAAATCCGTTCAGTAAAATCAAAAAGATTGGGAAAGATTTTATGACGGTAAGGTATTCTAGCAATGGTTTTGCATACTGGACACCAGGTGAAATTTTAATTAGTTCATGTAGTGTGGATATAACTTACTTCACGTTTGACGAACAGACTTGTACAATACGTTTGATGGCATGGGGATCTTCGTCAATTGAAATTGTGTTGCAGTCATTTTCTGACATTAACCTGAATTATTATACGGAACATGGGAGTTGAAAGATAAATTCCGCGTCTGCCAAAAGTATACTAGTAGTAGATGTTTCGATTGGTTTGTCATTCATTGATATGTCTATTTCAATGAAGAGACGTCCAGGTTTTTATGTTGTAAACATTGTACTTCCTGTTAGATTTCTGATGTTGTTAAATGCATGCGTATTTGTTTCACCTCCAAACTCAGGAGAACGAGTTTCATATGCTATAACTGTATTACTTGCAATAGCTGTATTTCTGACTTTGATAGG